CAGCTGTCCTGAAACTCACTATGTAGACCAGGCTGGCCTTGAACTCACAGAGATCCGCCTGCCTCTGCCTCCTGAGTGTGGGATTAAAGGTGTGTGACACCACACCCGGCCTAAGGGCCTATTTTGTATAGGACCGCACTGCATTCTTTCAAGATCTTTAGTCTACACAGATACACTTAATAGTATTTTAAAGAAAAACAATCTGTATCCCTATAAACTGTTTCTAAAAATATTTGTGCCCCAGCTGGGAGAAAAGGCTATGAAGAAAAAAAATGAGATACTGAAATCAAATTGGGAGATTCAGTCACTGACCACAGTAGACACTTTATCCAGAGTCATAATACTGTTAGGGACCAACAAAAACATTTAATTCCTTTAAAAATCAGAAAAAGGAAAACAATGTATGCAATTCAGCTTGGGTTATATTGTCTTTATATCAACTAGATCACAAGATACCTTTTTCCCCTATTTTTGTTCTTTAAATAAGCATAAGAACTACAGAGGTAAAAGTGTCCCAAACCAGAGACAGTTACATGGCAGTCCCAGATCAAGCTACAGAATTAGAAAGGTATGGTTTTACTTACCTGGATATTTAGGGAAATGCTGATAACCAGGTTTCCCAAAATGGCCAGCAAAACTCCAAAAAGGTGACTCTGTAAAAGAAAAGACTTTCTTTAAATGGTATTAGAGGTTTGGGAGTTTAGCTCAGTGAAATTGTACTTGCCTAGCAAGCACAAGGCCCTGGGCTCAGTCCCTCACTTAAAAGAATGTAGAATATTTATAGACAAAAAAAAAGTTTAAGAGGCTGGAGAGATAGCTAAGTGGTTAAGAGCACTGGCTGCTCTTGCAGAGGACTTGGGTTCAATTCCTGGCAGCCACATGGTGGCTAACAACTGTAACTCTAGTTCCAGAGGATCCAACACCCTCTTCTGGCCTCTGTGGGCACTGTATGACACAGGTGCATTTAGATACATGCATGCACAACACTCATATACATAAAATAAAAATAAACCAAAAAAATTTTTTTTTGGTCTTTTTGAGACAGGGTCTCCCTGTAGCCCCAGCTGTCCCGGAACTCACTATGTAGACCAGGCTGGCCTTGAACTTACAGAGATCCGCTTAAAGGAAAAAAAGATTATGTTTAGATGTATTAATTTAGTCTCTTACCCATTAATCTTTACTTAGCATCTGTTTAGCAAACCTATCCTGGCAATAATATTTGATTAAAGTGAGAAAATAATCAAATATAATTTCTTAGAAATAAGTTGATCAGGGCCCTTGAGATAGTTCAGCAGATAAAATATGCTTGTGGTACATCCTGATGACTTAAGTTCAACTCCCAGCTCCCACCGTGAAAAGAGTGAAAAGACTTCTGAAAGCTGTCTTCTGACCTCTACATACCCACTGTAGCATGCATGTGCTTACGTTCACACACACACGTCATACACATTAATAATGAATAAAATTAATAAGTGAAAGTACTTGGCCGTATCTAAGTGTAGTGGCTCATGCCTATACTCTAAGCAGAGGTGGGAGGTGTAGGCAGGAGAATCACTGCAAGTTCAAGGCCAGCCTGGGCTTCATAGTGAGACCCTGCCTGGGAAAGAAATAACTTGGTCCTTTACTGAATTCTGTAGGTGTTTGTCTATATCATTCATTAAAGAAAATCAGGCATCAGGTTCTGACTTTTTTCCACTAAGATGCTTCTGATATGTCTTTTCTGTTCATTTTCTTTTCCATTAATTTGCTGAAGAACTGTGGTATTAAAGAAAGATTACTGGACTTGAAGTTAAAGGAAAATCTGAGACATGGATCTGTTATATTCTGATTGGGTGACCTTGAACAAGTTATTTCACTTTCCTGGCCTCAGGAAAAAGGGCATGAGTAACATGTTTCTAGAAACCCCTTTATCTCTAAAGTCTCCCATTAAAAAAACACATTTTCCCACCACTCCTCTTGTCAAGAACCCACAATGCCTCTCTGCAGTTGACAGCATCATATGTGTAACTACTATGTCAACTCCCATAAACTGCCCTCACCTTGGCCACTCACTGTTCATGACACACTTGATGCACTTGCTGTGCATCAAGTAAATGGCACACACCACCCTCGGACCAGGTGTGGTATCTGTTCATGACACAGCATTCACCTGGATGGTATCGCTCCCTACATCAGCCCACTCCAATTCAACTTCACCTTCCTGGCCTACAGATGTCTAGACCCTCTCAGACTACCTTAACTTAGACTTTAAATGGTAATACTTATTCTTCTTTGATATTGTCATGTGTGCTATCAGGTACTATAAAGAGAAGGTGAATTCTCTAAGGTAGGAGAATAAAGTCTTACATTCCCACTGAGTCTTCAAAATAATCTAATCTATAAAACGGGGAGCTTCATAAACACTTGGAAACTGTGTACAGTCTAAATAAGAGCCATAAAGGTTAAAAATGTTATCAAAATAAGTTATTACATGTTGCTCAAATATTTATTACAGATAGCTCATAGATTATTTGAAAACTTCAAAAGATGCATTTGAGGGCTACATAGATGGCTCAGTGGGTAAAGTCCTTGCTCTGCATGAGGACCTGAGTTTTGATCCCTAGCAAGTAAAAGTCAGAGATGGGGGGTGGTGTGGAGGCAGGAGGATCAACAGAACTCCTTGGTCAGTCAGTATAGCTGAATCAGGTGAGCCCCAGGTTCAGTGAGAGATCTTGTCTCAAAAAATAAGGTAGAGGGCAGGGAGATGGCTCAGTGGATAAAATGCTGGCCATGTAAGCCTGATGATCTAAGGCCAATCCCCAGAACCCCACAAAAAGCTGGATGTAATGATGTGCAACCGTTATCTCAGCACTCCTACCCCAAAATGAGAGGTGGAAACCAGTGAACTGGCCAGAAGTTCATGGGCCAGCTAGCCTGGAGTAAGCTGTACAGCAGAAACAAGGGACACCCTGCCCCGTGAGGGAGAAGGAGAGAACCAACTCCCAAAGTTTACCTTTTGACCCCCACACATGCACAGTAGCTCACACACACTTGCATATACACACTATAAATAAATAAATAAATAAATAAATAAATAAATAAATAAATAAAGGTTGAAAGCCACTGAGGAAGATACCCAATGTCAACCTCTGGCCTCCACATGCACATACAAACATGTTCACATGCACCTGTATACACACATGTACACACAAACACATAAACATGAATTCTACATGTACATACACACACATGAGTGTGTACATGTGTATGTGCCACTCCCAGCTAGGCACAGACATGTAACAGCTCCTGCAGGTATCAATTAACAGTGATATGGGAGCTCCTTTCCTTATTCTACAGGACATAACTTGTAGTCAGCTTAAAATTCCAAAGAGCGATTTGAATTGCAAATGAACATTACAACCACAAGAAATCCTTTTCAGAATGCGAAATGTCTTTGAAGTTTTAGAGTTCTATTACACAAACTGAAGTGAAATTCTGTATTTTAAAAATATGAAGCAGAAAGCTTGAAAACTCATTTTATAGTTGATATATAATATCCATGGCCTTTAATCAGTTAAGATTTTTTTTTCTTAATAAAGGCACTTGGCAATAATTTTGATCACTATTGCTCATGGGGAACAACTGTATCACAATACAGTGTACTGTTTCCATGCTTTTTACTTACAATTTAATGCATTTGGCAATAATTAGGAAAATAAAGAATCAAAAGAAAGTTGGCATTGAATGTATAATTATGAAAATCTTCCATAGCTAGAAAAGTAAATTGCTGAACAGAAATAACTGACTTCAAAATTCTTTAAATCATTCTCTGAATGGTTCAAATGACATCAGGCTGGGTGTTTTAAAATTGGTGGCCAGATGTGGCAACGGTTTCTTGGATGTGGCACCAAAAGTTCATACAATAAAAGAAGACACAGGTTAGACTTCATCTGGATAAATACTTAAACATTTTTTGTGGTGTTGGTGATCATACCCATTTTCTTGTATCCACTAAGCAAACATTTCACCAGCTACATCCCCAGTCCCCCAAATCAAAACCTTCTGTGCCTCAAATGACACCACAGACAGATCAAAAGGCAAACAACAGAATGGGAGGAAATATTTGTAAATCCTTTTCTAAGTAGGGCCTGATATCTAGAACACTGTATTTAAGACACCTATAATTCAACAATAACACATAGCCTAACTTTATTTTTTTATTTTCTGCTCTCCCTAGTCCCAGCCCCAGCCCACCTGGAACTCACTATGTAGACCAGGCTGGCCTCAATCTTACAGGGATCCAACTGCCTCAGACTCCCGAGTGCTGGGATTAAAGGCGTGAGACACCATGCCCGGCATCATAGCCTGATTTGAAATCGACAGAATTTAGGATAGATTTTTTTCCAAAGAAGACATAGTAATGGCCAATAAGCACATGAAATAATATTCCTCATTACTACTCATTAGGGAGATGCAAATCAAAACTACAGTAATATGACACTACATACGAAGCAAAATGACGATTAAGCAAAGAGGATGTAATAACAAATGTTAGCAAGGATGTGGAGATGTTGAGAGCCTTCACACACTACTGGTAGGAATGTAAAATGATATAATCACTTTGGAATATAGTTTGACAGTTAATCATGGAATTTCCATTTAATTCAGTAACAGAAATGTAAGCAACATGCTTACACAAAACCTCATACAAATGCCCACAGACAGCATTATTCATAATAGCCCAAAGTGGAAATAATCCAAATTTTGCCTATGGTTAGGTGAATGAACGAAATGTGGGTATAGTCATACAATGAGATATTATTTAGCCACAAAAAGGAATATACTGATACATGCTGTAACAGGGATGAATTTTAAAGTGTTTGCAATATGTAAGAATCCAGGTTTGAAAAATCACATATATATGACTTAATTTGTATGTACTACCCAGAAAAGGCAAGTCTAGAGTTAATATATCAGTGGTTTACTTAAGGAGGGAAAAGATGGGAGGCTTAGGAATAAGGGTGAAATGGTGAGGGCTCTTTATAAGGTGATAAAATGTTTTAAAGGTGACTTTGATGGTTGTATAATTCTGAAAATATGTTAAAAAACAATGAATTGTCCACTTTACATGACTGAATTATATATTATATGAATTATATTGCACCTAAAATTGCTAAATAAGGTAATTTATGTATAAAAATTATATATTTTTTATCCAAAGAAATAAAATACTACAAATGTTGCTACCTCCATTCCTGTTTCTTGTCTCTCCAAGAGATTGAAGATCTTTAATTTTTTTCTTGCATTTGTTTATTGTGTGTGCACATCTGTGCAAGCCATATGCATGTGAAGGTCAGAAGACAATCTGTGAGAGTTAGTTCTCTCCTTCCAACATGTGGATCTCAGAGATCAAACTTAGGTCATTAGGCTTAGTGGCAGGCACCTTTACCTTTACTTGCTGAGCCATTGCGCCTGCCCTGAAGAATTTTCTTTCCGAAGCTGATGTATTTTTCTTTGATTCCCAGAGTTTTGTTATATTTAAAAATATAACAAAAAATACATATATTTATTTTTCATCCCCACTGGACTTTTATTATCTTTTCCTCTTTCTTCTCATCTAATAATACATGCAAGCACAGCTCTACATTTCCTTTCCCTTTTCAGCTTCCTGCAT